CCTCCCCAAACCCCACCCCCTACCCCCAAATATAATCCACTCTGCAACCCTCGTAAGTATTTTTAAAGGGGGAATTTGTTAGAGTTACCAGCCCTGCCTTTGAACATTACTGAAAAGTTTTCTACCTCAGATTGAGCTCTAGATTACTAGATTCAGGCTGGGGGTAGGATTTAGTAACAAGTAATGGGTAACAAGAACTCCTTTATTTAATATCCTGAGTCATAATTTAATGTTAATAGTGCTTTACCGTGTTTGTAGTAATGGCTTTTACACACTGATATGATTGTCTAAGCAGCCCTGTGAAATAGAATCAGAATGCCCCATTTAACATAGGAGATTAAGATGTATCCTAACAAAAGTTGTTAGGACTAGATGGCAATAGTTGTGCTTCTGTTTTCACCAAGTCACTTTGTAAAGAGTGTAAACTCAAGGAATTTTTGCGCAGAAGTTACTGTGTGTGTGTGTGTGTGTGTGTGTGTGTGTGTGTGTGTTATAAATTTAAAATTATGGAGAACACGTGATGTGTTGTTTTCTTCTGTGTTCATTTAATCTAACCTACATTATGATCATAACATTTTTTTATGTTACAGTTTAGGGAAACCGAGATTTAAAAAATAGTGCTATGTAAACATTACTTTTGTATGAAAGTTAAATTTATACAGATTTTTTCTTTATATTTATTTCTTGATACATTTAGGAGGATATTTCGATCACTAGGCCATCAAAAAAACACTTGGAATTGTACGACAAGGATCTAAAAAATTTTCGGATCTCTAAGGCCCTTGACAGAGTCCTTGAGGTAGGTGAGGAGAATGATTTCAAAAACATGCTTTATTATTTGCCTTATGCATCCCATACCTATGGACTGTAAAGACAAAAACCTGTTCAGACTTGGTAATTAGTGAGTTTCAAGCCTGATTTCCTCCCTCTCCCTTTTGCTACCTTACTTGCATATGCTGATTTTATATATTTTTGTAAAATTTTGTAGCCAGAAGTTACAATAAAGACACCGGAAGTTACAGTTTCCATCATAAAGGAGCTCAATCGAAGAGGAGTTCTTGCGAATGCTCTTGCAGGTCGAGATGAAAAGGAACTCAGCCGTATCCTTAATTTTTTGATAAGGTCAGATACTTGCTTTATTACTTAATGAGAAACACTTACTTTCTTGTTTGATCTTTGTAGAGAACTAATGGAAAGGACAAATTTTTTTTTAATTTGGAGTAGGAAAAGCAAAAGTTTTATTATGTATGCTAGCAGCTAAACATAAATGAGACAGAGCTTATAAGCTTCTCGAATTGTGTCCTCATAAGGAAAGATTCTGAGAAGGTACTGAGAAGGCTAGGTTAAGGGTTTGGGGAAGAGCTCGTGTTTATCTAGCACACTGAGGAAGGAAAGGTGAGACTTCAGAAAAGGAGAGACTGTGCACTTCATGGGTGCACACAGCTGGCCTCTAACATGTTCTCTTTCCTGTAAGCTATTGAGACATCACAGGGCACACTTGTAGGTTTTCTTCTTTCGAGATGACTTCTGCTTGGTTCGGTGCTTGATCACCAGGAAATGTGTCCTTTCAAAATGGCTGTCCTCCAAAAGGTCATGCTCACATGGCACCTAAAAGCTAGGACAATATTTATTGTGGGCACGGTTTCTCTTCTTTAAAAATGACTTCATCACAGTAGTAGTTGTTACTGAGTGAGCTGAGTAAATTTACTTTAAAGATTTAAAAATATTGGAATGTTTCAGTAATCAGAACTTTTCTTTGTAGGAATCTGTCTCAGCCAAGATTTGCTCCTGTTTTGATAAATGTGGCTGAAATAATTATTGGTAAGTAGTTCAAATCTGAAAATGCTAATACGCTTCTTAAAGTAAATAGATTCATTTCTGACTCAAAGACTCAAGGTGCCAAGGAACAAAACACTGCCAAGTCCTGTGCCGTCTTCACAGTTCCTAGTGTGCATTATTGTGGTTCCTTTGTCAACTCATTTAATGGAGGATCTTCCTCCTTTTCACTGACCTTTGGTGCCCTTCTCCCGGGAGTGGCCCCTCCTGATCATGTCTGTGAAGTCTTGCCCTCTTTACCATCCTGCTACAATTCTTCCAGGACAGCCTTTTTCTCTTTGGCTGTCCATGGTCTGTTTCATATTCTTTGCCAGTCCCACAATTTGGAGACATTAGGGGTTTTTTGTCTTCATTTTCTGACTTTTGCATGCATATGAATGATTGAAAATATGACAAGGGCCAAGCACATTTTGGAGCTCTTTAGCACTTTGCTTTTATTATACCATATACCAAAATTAATGGCACACCATTGATCAGAAGCTTCAGGTCAGCATATCATCCAATTATATAAATCCATAATATCTGATATTAACAGCTCCATCCATGGATCAGTTCCCTAGTTCCTTTGGTCTTTTTGGTTTGGTGAAAAGATTTGCTAGAAGGTCCTACAGAGATTTGGACACATCAACAAATGACTCACATGCCTGGAGATATTCAGGCTGGTTTTCTCATAGACACTGGCAAGCAGTAGGCCAGGCTGGATGCAGTTAGATGCTTAAATACAGTTGCACTGCTGCTCCTGTGTTAGTGCTTTTCACATACTCCCAGTGGGGAGAGTGCTGTCCTGTCGTGATCCTCCAGCGGTTGCTGATGTGTGAGACCATGCGTCCTCAGTTGAGGTAGTCGGAGATCAAAAAGTAGAGGTGTGAAGTAATGTGATTAGCAATAAAAATAAACTGACAGCAGTTTGAAGTATAACAAAATGGTGGCAGTGTTGCCACTTTAAATTGTAGAACTAGGAACATTACAAATTTAAAATGTTTTCTAAAAATTTATACTGATCATAGTAATTTTTATATGAAAAAGTCAAAATAAGTAAAGATTTCTACCCTGTACTCTAAAATTACTTGGAAAATATTCATTCACATAGATTATTATTTTTCATTTAAGTTCTAAATTGATTGTAAAATGAGATTTTTCGCTTTCTTTATATGTTGTTATGTGCCGTCGAGTCGCCTGCAACTCATGGCGATTATGTACAGCAGCTCTGAAGCCTGCCGTGTCCTGAGCCAGTGTCACTGACTCGGACACAGCAACCTCTAATGCCCAGTCACTGTGTTAGTCCATCTAATCCAGGGCTTCCTCTCCTGCGCTGTTCCTTTCTGAGCATGATGTCCTTTTCTCCAAGGACTGGTCTCTCCTGGCCACATGCCCAAAGTATGTGAGACAGTTTTAAAATCTTGGCCTCCAAGGAGAGACTTGGTTTCACCCTCTGCAAGATATGTATATATAAATAATATCTGAAAAATATTTCCAATCTTCTCTTTCTAGATATATATCTACCAGTGGTTGGTCAGTCACCTGTCGTGGATAAAAAGTTTTTGGTACTTCAAGGACTTATAGAAAAAGAGATTGATTACCAAAGAGAACTGTTAGAAACCTTGGGAATGATGGAAATGCTTTTTGCTGCCACGACTCCAAATGAAAGCACTTTTCCGCTGGAACACGACTCTGATGGATTGCTTGAAAACAAGACAGAATCTGTGGATGCCATAGAAACTGACTTAGAATGTATTCAGCTCTGTTGACTGCTGGAAAGAGACTCTTTTTCATATATTAGAAAATTTTACGGAAGCAATTTTATTGAAGAGACAGGGATGATTATGTTTGAAAAATAAGAATTCTTACTTTAAAACATGATGTTCCATGTAATATTTTGATTGTTTTGTATCTTCAACTAGAAGATCACAGTTGATTTGTTCATTGTTACGTTCGTGTTGTATGCACTGGTATTAATACAGTAAAGTTTGTAACAGAATTTGGGTAAGTAGTCAGATAAGAGTTCATATGAACCCTTTCTGGAGAGGACTTTAACTGGGAATTTGGGCAAAGGAATAAGGGTTTATTTTATTATTATTAGTTTTTATTTCTGTCTTGAAAAAAGGCAGCCATAACAAAGCAAGGAGCAACAACACAAAATCCCTCTCTTCATTCTTGTTGGTGTCCTTGGAATATCCAAGCCCCTTCTGAGCCTGACTGTCCTTCCCTCTCCTAGGCGTCACCGCTTGCCTGGGTCACGTGCTCTCTAAGAGCTGGTAACAGAGCTGTGTCCTTTTCCCACATGGCAAGTCGGGCTCCCTGGACCTACCTTCACAGTGTGATGAATCAGTATTGGTGTTCTAAAAATGGGCTTTCCTTCTCAGGCATTTGTGTATTTGTTTTTATTTTTTTGACCTTTAACTGTTTTTATTGGACCACTTTTCCTTTTTAATTCCCCTGAATGTATATAGCATTTCTGTCAGATTTTCAACTTACTTCAGGCCAACGGAATTATACAATAGGCCATTTTTCTTATAATAATGTGAAACCTGAGAGCCAGAACTTAATGGGAGCACCTTGACATTAAAGGTCTTGCAAGTTTCCTTACTTTTGATGCGGCGTAGTCTTACCACTTTTCTGTCACTCGAGAGTATCTTAATTTTTCTTTGACATGTCTTATCTTGTACAAATTACAGCTTTTGCAAGCTGTGTTCTATTTAGCATTTCATACATATGCCTTTTAAAACGACTTTCTCAGATCTTTGTGCTTCCAAATATTTTCCTCTATTCTTCACCGTCATCCTGTGTTTCAAACCCCAAACAAGAGTTACTTTGAGAAATGGTTGTGTTCTTAAAAACTTAAATGTATATTATGTTTTGTGGGGGTCTTTTGGCCAAGAAATATCTCTGACACCTCTTCTTGCTGCTTAGTGTTTCCTAACACATTTACTGCACACTCGATACCCTTCCTGCTTGCCCTCGCATCCTGTCATCCCACAGAGTAATTGCCTGTCAGGAATGTGTCTCAAGCTGAAACATCTCTTAGTTACAGGAAGGCTTTGTGTTGAGATGATTTAAAATCAGTAAACTTCTCTCATGATTTAAACTCGACAAACTTGGGGCTTTTTCTAACACATAGAAATTGGAATACGTTTTTTTTCTAGTAATGACATGCTTAGAGGTAGAGTCTAGTTTGCCTCCTAAAATGATTTAAGCTTAACAAAGGGTGTTGGGAAGCAATTATAATGATACCTGTAAGAAATTACGTGTTTATTGCCGTAAGTATGGGATTAGTCAGAACTGGAAGCCCTTTTATCACCTTAAAAACTGTTAATTTGTTTAAATAAGATAACTATTTAAAAGCTTTTTGAAAAATTTAACTTAATAGGTATGCAGATAGAATACTAGTAAAACCTAGAATTTTAAATTCTAAAACTAGTTGCTATTAATTTGTGCTCTGTGACAAGGGTTTCCCAAAATGATTTTTTACCCCTGCCATCACAGTTGATCTGACCTCATTTAACATTGTATTCCCTAAAACTATTTTTACTCTTGATTTCTCAAGCATGAACTTCTCATCCCAGTTCTCAGAATTACCTGCCCGAGACCTACACTGCTCATTCTCTTCAACAAAATGTCTCTGAGTACAGCAGTTTTCAACTAAAATATGTAATGATTACACATTTTCAAGAAGGTTAAGAAACTGTTTCAGTGGTCACCAGTATTGTTGGGTTCTGTGTAGGAATCGTTTTTTTGATATACATTAGGACATGCTATGTGTAGTTGCACTTTGACTTGAACAGTGGGCATATTTGCGGTATGTTACATTGGCCTTAAAGTTAACATTTCAAAGTGCTTAACAGTTTCAGACCTATTATAGTTGAAAGCTATTTAAAATAAAGCCTGCAAAAATACTGGAATGTTCAGAGAACTTAGAAAGTCACTGTGTGTTTAATTTATTATATTTATGAGAGTTAAGCACTTGGGAAGGTTGATGCTTCTTGGGCAAGTATTTGCTGAAGTGCTGCAAAGAAGCAAGAAGTGCTGCTTAAAAGAGAAATAAATGTATACATTGTGTTAAATTGTTTAAAGGAATTTGAATTGTAAATGGTACTGCTTAAAAACTTTGCCCTATTCAACTTCAGTAGATTATTATAAAACATTAAGATGCTCTTGAAAGTGATTGTTACATTGTTCTAGATTTCTAAATGGACTAGTCTAAGTGAAATTTGAAAGCTTACAGAATGTTAAATTTTTACAATTCTTAATGTTATTAAATAATCTTTTCTATAAACAAAATATTCTTTTGGACATTAAAAAAAATACTCTCTCTCATAAATATTAGGCTACATGCTTATTTCCCTGGCCGTAGTGGTCCAGTGTTGGGGCACTTGGTCTGAGACATCAGTGGATTTGTGGAATTTGTAATTTATATTTTTAATAAAAATGTCTTGATCTGGGGAAATATGGGTGACTAAGGAAGAGAAAGAGGGAGGAAAAGATAGTCCTGGAATGTAAACCTAATTTTTAGAATGTTTTATCGTGCTTAATGGTGAAAGTTCAGAAAAAAAAATTGGCTTACCAGTCAATAATTTATATTATACTTTATTTATAACATAACATTATAACATTATTAATAATTTATACATTATTTTATAACATTGGCTGTAATCCCCACTTTCACCATGAATTACTTATTGTTATTCCTTATTACCATTAACTCAGCTTTCCTGCCTTCTGCATTTTACATTTTGGCAGATAAAAAATATGAGACCATTTTACCCTCAGCAGCGTGCTGCTCACAGGTACTTTGTTCATTTTGCACTGTGTATTATTTTATGGATTATACCTTAATTTATAGACAGTATCATGCTCCACGGACAAAAGATTGATGTCAAGAATTTATTCTACTTAGGTCCACAGTCAACACCTATGGTGATGGTAATCAAGAAACCAAAAAACGGCATTGGGGAAATTGACTATCAAGGACCTCTTTAAAGTACTAAAAAGCAATGCTATTAATTATAAGACTAAGGTGTGCCTGACTCTAGTCATAGTATTGCTTCATATGAAAATGAAAGTTGGGTAATGAATAAGGAAAACCAATGAAGAATTGATGCCTTTATATTGTACTGGCAAAGTATTGATATACTATGGCCTGCGAAAACAAACTATCCTTAGAGGAAGTGCGACCACAGTGCTCCTTGGAGGCAAGTATGGTGCAGCAAGTATGTCTCACATACTTTGGGCACGTCGTCAGGAGGTGCTAGTCCGTGGAAAGAGCCATCATGCTGAGGAAAGCAAAGTGAACAAAAGAAAGCCTCTAGGAAATGGATTGACTGACTACAATTAAAACAAGTCCACAAGAACCAAAATAGGATCTTGAATCTATTCTAACTGAATTTTAAAACCATCTCAAGAATAGATTTGACTCTCTGGGTAACACTCAACCCTTCTCCCTCCTGTTTTCATTCACCTTTGTCTCCTGCCTCCCTCTTCCCCATCCCAAAATTAAAAGGAAAGGGGGAAAAAGTTTGAGGCATTAGAACACTAATGATCTAAGACCAGATGAGTTGTAGGATGACATCAGTGATACGCCTGAAGAAAGCAAAAGGTCATTACAAAAACAGAAGAAAAGACCAAAATAGATGTCAAAAGAGACTAAAAAAATTGTACTAGAACATAGCCAAAACAAAGGGTTTAAGTAAAACATGAGCAGAAGATTTCAAAGGGTAGTTTGAAAAGACAGAGCAGACTTAAAATGAAAAGTGTAGAGTGTGGAAAATGGGAAAAACTCGCTAAGTATTTCTCAAGTTGAAAGAACAGAAAAATTGAAGCCTCGAGTTGCAATACTGAGATGCTGTGGGCAAAAATCTTGAACGATCCAGGATGCATCGAAAGATAGAATACAGAGTCACTATAACAAATAGTTGGCTGATGCTGAAATATTTCAAGAAGTAGCATATGATAAAGAGGGGAAATGCAGGAAGATGTTCAGGCTGCACTGAAGGCATTGGCAAAGAATACGGCCCCCGGAATCTACGGGATACCATTAACATGATTCAACTAACAGATGTACCTCCTGGATGTGCTCACCAGTCTGTGCCAGGAAATTCGGAAGACAGTTACCCGGCTAAATGACTGGAAGAGAATACACATTTATTTCCCTTTCTCAAAAAAGTTGATTCAGCGGAGTGTGGAAATTACCAAACATCAGTAATATCACATGCAAGTAAAATCTTGCTGGTGATTATTAAAAAATTAGACAAGTACATTGACAGAATGTCAAATTGAGGCTAGATTTAGAAGAAGCTATGGCACCAGAGATGCCATTGCTGATATCAGATGGATCTTGGCTGAAAGCAGGTAATACCAGAAGGATATCTATTGACTGTTTTACTGACTAAGCAAAGACATTGACTGTGTGGATCATAACAAACTATGGCTGATGCAGAGAAAGAATGGGATCCCCAGAATATTTAGTTATGATTGTACAAAACTTAGACCTAGATAGGCCAAGAAGCTGAACAGCAAGGGAACCCTGCATGGTTTAAAGAGAAAAGTGTATTTCAGGGCTGTATTCTTTCTCCATACTTATTCAATAGATGTGCTGAACAAATCATTCAAGAAGCTGGACTCTGTGAAGTAGAATGTGGCACCAAGATGGAGGAAGACTCATCAATAATGTGTTATGCAAATGACACAGTCTTACAGAAAGTAAGGAGGACTTGAGCTGCTTTCTGTAGAAGATCAGAGTACAGCTTTCAAGATGGATTATATTTCAATATCAAGACAAAAATTCTCA